AGAGATACGAGCGCCGTTACGATGGTGATGCCTGCACTCGGGCCATCCTTGGGCACAGCGCCCTGAGTCAAGAAATGAAGCATCACAAGTACGCATTGTTAAAAATAAAACTTATCTATCATTAGGAATTTTATAACAACTAATTCAAGAAACAAAGCTTCAGAAGTAGGAATTGTTAAAAATACGACTTATTTATCATTAAAAATTTTATAACAACTAATTCAAGAAACAAAGCATCAGAAGTAGGAATTGTTAAAAATAAGACTTATTTATCATTAAGAATTTCATGACAACTTATTCTAACCAGAAATTAGAGTAAGTTGGCATGAAAAAAACACGAGATTAGAGCAATCTCATCATGAGGATTACCTACTAATAATTTTCAACATTCTGGACGTGGTCATAACGAACGACGTAGATGCAGTAGCAAACCGAAAAAAAAACATGGAAGACCAGCTCACCTCGGGCACATGCAAGTGAAGGTGGTTTTGTATCAGGGCTTTGTTGTCAGGTTCCTGGGCTGCAAGGAAGTTCTTGGCGAAGGTGTAGGCGATGCGCACGGACTCCTTCATAACATCACCGAGGTGTCCTGTGGTCTCCAGACTGCCCTGCAGCGGCGCTCCCTCCTTCTCTGTGGGTGTCGTGGCTGGCGAAGTCATTGGTCGCATGCTTGTCTCGATGTACAACGTCGACCCTCCTGCAATTTTGCATGTTAACGATATTTTTAATGATTAAACAATTTAACAAACTTTTGCACACCTTATGAGTTCTCCTCTTTTACTACATAACAGCAACGACGTTATTTGTAATTATCATTACAAAATGTAGTTATTTCCAGGAAAAAAATTCACCAGAAACATGCATAAAACTATTTTTTTAATAAGTCAAAATGAATCAAGTTTTTTGTTGTAAAAAAACTTTTCTTGAATTATTTAAGAACAAATTACTTGACATAGCATTGGACTAACCCATTGCTGTCCAGGCCAAGCCCATGACGACACCCGGAGGGGTGATGTCGTACATGCGGTCGGTGGTGAACTTGGGTTTGCCCACGAATTCCTCGAGGTTGATTTCTTGCACGGCCACGCACTCAGGCTTCTCGCTGACCAACGTGAATGCGGCGCGTCGCATGATGCGCTCGATGAGCTTCTGAAGGCTGCGCACGCCGGACTCGCGGCAGTAACGCTTGATCAGAGTTTCGATGGCTGCAGGCTCCAAG